ATAATTATTAGGTATCTGTTCCTTCCTCGGTGGTGGTTACGGATATTCGACAAATTTGACTGAATTATTAGTTATTTGATAGGCATCACTCTACATTTAATAGGCCTATGACTTCATAATTGTTGTAATGTCCAAACAAAAGTCAAAGTTTCTTCCACGTAGTACGATCTCAATGAATTCCAAACATCAGGCCCGTAGGCAGGATTTTCGATGGGGAGGTGCGTTTTGCAACCGAAGTGGACCTTACGATGGGCGACTGCCTAGGGATCCCCGCGAGGGTGGGGCGAATCTTCTGGAAGCTCTGACAAATTAGAATTTTGAGGGTCTTTTTTAATGGATTTCTAAAATCCATAATTTGTAATATCCTATTTAAATTTACATTAATTTGAGTATTGTCTAGGGACCTACAGTAAAGCAGGAGAAATAGAGGGTGGGGTGAAGGGAGAAACTTGCACAGACAGATGGTTAATACCACCTCAGCCCCAACCTAGTTGAGGCTGAGGTAAGAAAATTTATGATTATGGTACCTCAAAATGGCACTCTCAGACAAACTTTAATTTTGATTTTTCTTTTTTCTCCATTTCTTTTATAATTTTAGGGGGCTCTTCCCCCTTGAATCCACCACTGTGAAATTGTAATTTTTCATGTTCTTTACATCTGTAGGCCTACAGATGACATGGAGCAATCTGCAATCACTGGAGCTGATAGTTTCCAACAGATTTCGTAGCACATTATTAAAAATCAACAGGTAGAAGAGCGAGCAAAAAAATGTAATGCATACTATACCATTTCGCGATAATTAGGATTTTAGTGAAATAATAGGTTTTGAAAAGTGGACTTTTTAAAATTTGGTGGTCCAGGGGCAGAGGCCTGGAGGGGGTTTGTGAGAAAAGTGACAAAAGTAGCATTTTGAGGGTCTTACATAACAGATTTCTCAAACACATACCTAATTCATGAATATTTCATTAACATTTACATTAATTTGTGTGTTTTTGGGACCTGAAAAAGTAACGTTATTATGTCCTGTACATCTGCAGGCCTATCGATAAAATTCTTCATATTATATAGATCAATCCGCAATCACCGGAGACGATCAATTTCTAACAAATTTCATACCACATTATTAAAAATCAACAGTTAGATAAGCTTCTAGCAAATTAAGGCAACGCATGGTATAGTATTTTATGATAATTAGGAACGATTTTGTGAAATCATAGGTTTTAAAAAGTGGACCTTTGGAATTGGGGGGAGGGGGTGCGTCCGCACCCTCTCTGCACCTCACCCCCCCCCCTCCGCCTACGGGCCTGAACATCATAGGAGCTAGGTTTATCCATGATGAACAAACTAGTCGTCGACCTGCCTTTGTATTTGGGCTCTACATCGTCATTACTTAAAAATCATGTATGAATAGTAAAAATAAAAAGTGTTTACATACCTCTGACTGGCATAATAACTATGACCAGCTTTGGCTTACGAGATCTGGCTTACCAGCGACCTTCGTAGTAGTAGGCCTAGTCTAGTGTGAACGACTGCTACTGTTCACATGAGAATTAGGTTAGGCCTTTCCATCTCAACGGCAGGGGTGGATCCAGAAATGTCCAAAAGGGGGGGGGGGGGGGGAAGGTGAACGGTGATTTCAAAGCAATCATGCCGTGTTAGACCTGTTGTACGCTTCATGCACATTACTAGCCTGCATCATTTAATATTATTCAAATCAAACTGATAAGGCCTAGAAGTATGAAATCCAATGTTTACCGATTGTCCCTGGAGGTCCTATCGTACTATAGCCTGTGATACGTTCTTAATAGGCGGCCCGCGGCCAAATTTGTCTAGCGAGGCAAATTATTCCGGCCCACAAGAAAAACTAAAATTATAAAAAAAAAAATATTTAAAGAAACTAAAAGTCATAATCATTCGATGAATCTTAGCAGCCCCGTAGCCAGGTTCTTCCAAGGGGGGTCCTCTGGGCGTGGTGTGCAGGGTCGAAGCCCTGGCGGGGTCGGTGAAACCCCCAAAGCCTTTATGGGTCTAAATAATGCTATAAATGCAGATTTGTTTGAAAACGCCCAAGACTGGGTGGCTGGGTAGGTGGGTCTACATTGTATTAGTTGGGAATTTGAGGAGGGGGTTCGCCAGAAAAGAGTTTGCTAGAAAAGAGGGGGTTCTCCCAAACCACAAAGCCCCCCCACCCCCGGCTACGGGCCTGCTTAGTTCAGCTAAATATGGCATAGGCTCCTGGCAGATTAAAAAAACTTAGTTTTATAATAAGAGTAGACCCGAGATTTTACAGGCGAAGGGTTTTACCCTTTAAAGCCCTTGTATTTGGTGGATAGGATAAGTGAAATTACACAGAAAATACCGATTGTGTATTAATTTGAACAAACTTTGTACGACAGAAAAAAAAATTACTGTGTTTTTGTTAGGATTATGCCTGTAACTTCATTTTGGTTTGGGAATACTCCTACAGGATTAGTCCTACCAGGGAATTGTCATAGTCCCTGTCCTATCCATTGGCTAAGGCGAAATATAGTAGGAGGAGCTGTTAAAGTATGGACGTTCGAGCAGGTAACCATATTTGACTTGATATAGGCATAGGCCTAAACGTGAAGTCGTCTATGAGAAACAAACATAAGAATCAAGGTCAATATGATGGAAAAAGAATGTTTAGTTTTTACTTTTCGGGAAAAAGCCCAATTCAGGAAACGATACTTCGCATACAGTTACATTTCACAAAGAAAATAAGCCATGACCATTTCTATCACCAGTCACCGACAACACTGTCAAAGTTTGGACGCCCAAGCAGGTAACTATTTGGCATAAGGCCTAAACATAGAGGTACTCATTGCGAAGCACACATATCACACAGAAGCAAAACATCTAGTTTTACATT